TTGAATGCACGCGTTTAATTGGTCCAGCCACAAGTGAACCGGCTTGTAACGGACAGCGCGGCCACAACATGTTCTTCCTACAGACCTGGTGGTTTTTTGTGAAATAACTTAAGACACGCAGCCGCTGTGCGCAGCTTAGCACCCTGAAGTGCACACGGGAGGGGCTCTTCAGTGTGAATGCACTGACTTCAGACGAAGAGCAGTTGTGATTTGTGGGCGTTTCAGCAGTGGCCCTCGGCGAAAGGAGGTGCCTCTAAGGGTTCCCAAAGGCAAGATAACTGGGCCCCTGTGCTGAAGAGCTTCGTGAGTCTTGAAAAGCCCACAACGATTTTATTCATATAGTTAGTCTCATTAATTTGTCGTCCCTTGTGTTAACCTCTTGAGCTTTATGGAGTCTCCATCACTTCCCAGACATAATTAGCTTTTTTTCTCAACTAAAAATGTTCCATTGTTTGTCTAGATTCAAGTAATTGGAGGACAAGACTTGATATGGGGGGTAGGATCGCTCAGTGGTTTGAGCATTGGCTAGCTAAACCCAGGGTAGTGAGCTTAATCCTTGAGGGGGCCATTTAGGGATGGGGGGCAAATCTGTCAGAGATGGTATTTAGTCCTGTTGTGAGGGCAGGGGACAGGACAGGACAACCTTTCAAGTCTCTTCCAGCTCTATGAGATAGGTATATCTCCAGAAATTCAGATGATACTATGCAGAAAGTCACCAGCCAGTTGGTGTGGGCATGTGGGGGAAAGGGACAGGGGGAGTGAAGGACAGAATGAGATCTAGGACTTTGTGAAAGATTTATAACTCACTTGCACTAAACAGCTTAACCATCCTTTAAAAAACTAGCCCCGGGGGGCCCTTTTCAAATCTTGAAACATAGTTAAGTGTTTAGCAGTCTTATAGCCCCTTTACTTCAAACAAGAGTCCAAGATGTTAAATATATATGAAAAAGAGAAGTTACTCACTCAGTGCAGTAACAAAGGTTCTTCCAGATGTGTCCCCTCCATGGGTGCTTCGCTGTTGGCGTGGGCCTCATCCTGGCACCACGGATCAGAGACTTTTAGAGCTGTGTTCATTCAGGCTCTGCTTGTGTAAGCGGCGAACGGTGTTCCTGCCTTTGAAGTTAGCCCTTGTAGCAGATTATTAATGCCAGAAGAAATGGGAAGAAAGGCGGGTAATGGAACACCCACAGGGACAGACATCTCGAAGAACCATCATTACTGCATAGAGTGAGTAACTTCTATTTCTTCTTTGATCGATGTCCCGGTGAATGCTCTAGTGTTGGTGACTGTATAGCAGTGCCCATTTAGACGGAAGGTGGGCTTCAGCTAATTGTTACAGGCTATGGAGAGGATCGCTTTGGCTACTGCAGTATCTGTTGTCGAGCATGATGGAATTGCATAACGCTTCATGAAGGTGCAATAGGATGACCATGTCGCTGCTCTGCATATTTCATGGAGTGAGACTCCCTTGAGGAAGGCAGTTGATGTTGCCATGTTGCTGGTGGAATGGGCTTTGGGAGTTGTCGGTAATGCCCTATTCTGGAGCAAATAGCAAATAGTGATTCGGCAAGCCCTGCAGATAGTAATACAGAATGTTATCAATTTGATATGCACTGTGAAGAAAATGGTTTTCCCTTGGACCTTTTGGCTAGGGATACCAGAAATCTCTGGGATAGTCGAAATCCTATCCAGATAGAAGGCAATGGCCCTTCGCACATCTAAAGTGTGTAATATGGTTTCTTCCCTGGAGTGGTGTGGGTTTGGGTAGAAGGTGGGAAGGACTATTAGTTCATTGATAGGAAATTTGGAAATGACTTTGGGGAAGAAGGAGGGATGGGACCATAGAATAACTTTGTCTGTAAAAGGTCATGTATGGAGGCGAGGCATTGAGAGCTACAAGTTCGCTAATCTTCCTTACAGACCTGATTGCCAGAAGGAACAACGTTTTCATGGTGAGAAAGGTAAGTGATGAAGTTGCCATTGGCTCAAAGGTTTTGAGAGTGAAGGACCAGTTTTAAATCCCATGTGGAGAGCACTGGTTTACCTGATGGGTGAAGGTTCTGTAGGCCCTTCCAAAATCTCTTAGAGATGGAGTGGGCAAATATAGAGAAACCATCAATCGGGGAGATGGAAGCCTGCAATCGCGGCCATGTGAACTCAGAGTGATGAAAGGGATACATTTTGTTGTTGCAGGAGCATGATGTATTCCAGTATCAAATGGAGCGGAGCCATAGATGGTTGGATTCCTCTCCGTGTGCACCACTGTATAAACCATTGCCATTTGTACAGGTAACTCTTGCGTGTTGTTTGTCTCCTGCTATGTAGTAGGACAGTGCTCGCACTGCTTCCGAGAACCATGTACCGTGTCGTCAGATGCAGTGTTGGCAGCTGGGGATGAAGTATCGCACCCGTGTTCTGGGAGAGGAGGTCCAGGCGGATCAAAAGCGGGCAGGGAGGTCCTAGAGATAAGTTGATAAAGACATGGGAACCATGTCTGTTGAGGCCAAGTTGAAGCTATTAGACTTACACGTGCCCTGTCTGTCTGTATCTTCTGGAGAATTCTGGGGATGAGAGGGATAGGAGGGAATGCATCTAATAGGTGAGCATCCTATGGGAGGAGCATTGTGTCTCCCAAGGAGCTGTGTCCTATGCCTGCTCTCAAACAGTATTGGGGGCATTTGAAATTTTGGCTGGTTGCAAAGAGGTCTATTTGCGGTTGACCCCAGTGTTGGAACAGATCATGGGTGATCTGATGATGCAATTCCCATTCATATTCCGTGAGAAAGTTGCAGTGCATCGATATCAGCCATAATATTCTTGTCCCCAGATAAGTATACTGACTTGATGATTATGCTGTGGTGGATGCACCAATTCCATAGCGGGAATGCCTCTGCACATTGCAAAGGAGATTTCGAACCCCTTTAGCAGGTTGATGTAAAACATAGTGGTCGTATTGTCAGTGAGGATATGCACCAAAGATGCTCGAATATGTGGAAGGAAGTACTTGCATACGTTGTAAACCACTCGAAGCTCAAGCAGGTTGATGTGGAATCTGGACTCATCTTTGGACCACTTCCTTTGCACGTATTTTTGTTAGAAGTGTGCACCCCAGTCTAGCAGTGAGGCGGCCGTAGTGATTTGTTTGGACAATTGATCTCGGTAGAAGGGCATGCCACTGCAGAGGTTCTGTCCTTGCATTCACCTTTATAAGGGAGTAAGGACTTTCGGAGGAGGGGAAACGTGTCTGTGGACTTGGCGGCTGGTTGGTATATAGATTGAGGAAGTCCAAATGCTGGAAACATCAAAAGTGCAGTCTGGCATATGGGACGACATATGTGTTGGCTGCTATATGCCCCATGAGTTTCAGACAAATTAGGAGAGGATTGTGACCAGTTTTTTTATATTGTCAAAATGGTAATTAGGGAGATAGGTGTGTGCTGTTGTAGAATCTGTGTGAGCTCTTTGAAATCTAGGGATTGTGTGGGGCATAGAGTAGACTTCTAGTAGTTGATAATGAAGCCTGGAGACTGAAGGAAGGCCTTTGTGAATCTGATCATGTCCCTTGTGATCTGTTGGAAGGGACCTCAGATGAGACAATCATCCAAATACGAGAAGATTGTGATATCTTTTCATCTGAGATGCTGTCAGTCGACGGTCGGGGGTGTGTGAGTGTGAGTGTGTGTGTCACTGAGAAAAGGTTTAACGTCCATGTCTTTACCGCTAGGACCGGGGTCCCGTCGCGGAGGGCAGCCAACAGGCTGACAGATGCCCCAGAGTTTATAGGAAGAGCTTATTACATCTCAGATTTCAGCTGCTAGGATACAGGATCCCTTCGCAGCGGGCAGTCTAGGGAAGACTGAGATATGCCCCAATGGATCTGTCACTTGGGAGTGACACAATCCAAAATGCCCAAGCTCTTCCTATACCTGTCCCTTATGACCGGCTGACGTTCTTTTAAATTGTGCTTGGTTCTGTTACAGCAACTGAAGGAGTCAGGTTAAAAACTTAAACAGTTACAGGTTTATTAAAAAGACTTATAAAAGCATATGGTTACAATGGCTATTGCTCTCTTTCTTAACTGCTAGCAAATATAGATTTTAAAAAATGGTTACGAAGAAAATAAAGATAGAAAATAGAAATAATGGTACCAAGTGACAGCTTAATCTTTAAAGAGCTCTAAGTCTATGTGTACACTTAAGACAAAGGACCACATCCAGGTACAAGTTTTACCCCCTTCTGTGCCTCACAGACCCAGCGTGTCAGGCCAGAGCCGGTCCCTCAATTCCTAGGAAAGACGAATACGAAGTGGGCATCCCCATGGAACCTCAGGAGGTCAAACACCTAACCCGACCAGCAGATAGATGGTAGATTGACACTCAGAGTAAATGTGCTGCTGGACCCATCTTTATACTCCTGGGGGCTCGTATCCTCTTTCTTATCTTAAGATGCCAAATTGTACTGGTCCGTTTTGTGGCTCTAGTCTTACAAGGGAGTTTCAAATAACTTACACTTGTAAAAGAGGAAGATAGCTAAATTAGGAGTGCCGGATGTTCTTTGCTGGGCGGGAGATTCCTCCCCCCGCGGACGGCTGTGTGTTCGTATCAATATGGGTTTTAGTCAAGGGCACTCCTCGGCAGCCTCTTGGTCAGCAATTGGCATATCTCTGTTTACAGCCATTCACGGTCACTGAGCCTGCATATCCAGGCAAGCAAAAATGGATGTTACAAAAGGGGTTCCTGTCTGTCTACAGATGCTCTCCTACAACTGCCAGGGTCTTGGAGAAGACTTTGTGGGTAGAGGAGAGTCCTAATGGAAGTCCTAATGGAAGTACTGAAAATGGTCTAATGCTCCTGTAAAGTGTAGAAAATGTCTGTGCACCGGATGTATTGTGATGTCGAAACATGCGTCTTAGAGGTTGAGGGTGGAAAACCAATCTGCCCTGTCCAGCGTGGGAATCATCATGGCAAGTAACCATTTTGAAACGCTGCTGCAAAGGTATTTGTTTAGTTGACAGAGGACTAAGATAGGAGTCTAACCCCCTGTTCTCTTTTCTTTGAGAAAGTAGTTTGAGTTAAAACCTGTCCCTTAGTATTGTTCAGGGATTCGTTCTACAGCTCAGGTGTTGAACTTCTTGGGGGAGCAATGTTTCATGAGAGGGGTCCCTGAAGAGGGAGAGAGAGAGTGGAGAGGTTGGGGGGATAGCTATGAAAGGGATAGAATATCCGTGGCTGATGAATTCTAGAACCCACCAATCTGATGTGATTGCTGCCAATTGATTGTAGCAGTGGTGGAAGATGTTGGACTTGCCTGGCACTGGTATGGAGAGGAAGTCAAGCAGACTCTCAACTAAATTTTCAGACATGCTGTCTAGAGACCTGAATAATGGAAGAGCATGTGTTTGGGGTTCTTCTGTGTTGGTTTCACAGTCAGAAGCAGTTTTGGTCAAATAGTCAATACTGCTTTTGTCTGCCAAAGGTTGTATCCCTGTGTCTTTGGCAGGGCGTGTAGCGCTTCCTTCTGTAGGGGGGAGTGTACATCCCCAACGTGCATAAGGTAGTGCATGAGTCTTTGCTAGAATGCAGTGCTTTATCTGTCTCTGCAGCAAACAATTTGGCCTTATCAAATGGTAGATCCTCTACTTTGGCCTGAAGGTCCTTAGGAACTCCTGCTGTTTGAAGCCAAGATTCACGTTTCATTACTACGGACTTTTCTGTAGCTCTTGCCGCGTGTCTGTGGCGTTGAGGGCCATTTGGAGAGCTGCATGAGATATAGTATATCCCCCTTTAATGATGGCTTTAAGGATAAGTCTCTTGTCATCTGGGAGATGTTGCATGAGCTCTGTTAGTTTTGCATAGTTGTCAAAGTCATGATTTGCAGGCAGGGCTGTGTAGTTAGCTATGCGAAGTTGAAGGGTTGAGGAGGAGTACATTTTCCTCCTAAACACATCCAGGCATTTTTGGTCTTTGTCTTGTGTATGTGTTTTGTGTTGAGGATTTTTAGACCTCTGATTTGCAGCATCAACCACTAAGAAATGGATTGAGGGTATAAGTAGAGAAAGTCCATGCCTTTTGATGGGATGAAGTACTTTCTATCAGCCCTTTTGTTAGTTGGGGCACTGTGGCTGGCGTTTGCCATACTTATTCAGCTGCTTCAAGTATTGCTTCATCTAGAGGCAGCGCAATTTTGGATTTTGTAGAGGGCTGAAAGTTCTTTAAAAGCCTGTGGTGTTTTTCCTGATAATACGACCTCCTGACTGGCAGTCACTCTTTTGACGCTCCTGGAATTGTTTCATGTTGTGACTAGGTGTTGAGTCATTTGGGATAACTGCTTCATTAGGAGCAGAGGAGAAGTTATCAGTTGGTGAAATGTCTGATTGTTGGATGGTTGGATCATCCTGTCTGCCCTTCCTTGAGATCCGTGCCCTCAGATGGAGAATGTAATGGATGAGAGTGTATAGAGGGCAGTGATCTCTGTGCAGGTGGAGGGGGGCAGTCGAGGTGTGTTATGGTGCCCAGAAGCGATAGGGGGACTACTGGCTATTATGCCAGGAATAGTACTGCCAGTCGGGATGCCACAGGGTATATTGATAATGTGGTAGCCTGTGTGCCCCAGATGATGCATACAGTCTATCTGGGGAAGAGTGTTGTAAAGAGAACACACTCCTTGTATCCCTGTGGTAGGCACTGAGTTGTGATAAAGTAGGTGAGCATGCTGAGGGCAGAGAGCCTCCCATTGACGATGGGGAGCAAGAACAGTGTCGTGCCGCAGACTCAGCAGGAGATCTGATTCTAGATCTCCTGTCATTTATTGGTGGAGCATGTGTTTTGCACATTGGAGAATGGCAGTGTGTTGTTGATTTGTGTCCCATTGCCGAGTCCACCAGTGCTTGCGGTGGAGGCATGGGTGCAGTTAATACCCTTGGAGATCTGGGGTTAATGTGAGGTATGGAAGGGCAATTAGAACTAGCTCTATAATTTCTCAATGCCCGAGGTGAAAGCTGCACGAGGGGCTTGCACCAATCCAGGGATATTGCCTGTGCTGGTGGCATCATGTGCCAGAAATGCCAGTGGTGCCTCTGTTAATTCGGGGCCCTTAGTACGTGCTTGGGAAGCTGGTTTCGCAACCTGTTTAGAGTGCACTGTTGAACCTGTTAGTGAGGAGGCTCGAGATTTTGCCATGCCTGAGGTGCCAGGTTCATCTCTGTTACTCATTCATAACAGGAGGGAGCGGACCAATGAGGCCTTGGTTTTTTAATGTGCTTTTTGAGGTGAAGGGCTTGAGAAGTTCCCCTGAGTGGACATGGGAGTTTAGGGCTTTATCAATAGACAGTGTGCGTATTCTGAGCTCTCTATCCTTGTGAGCTCTTGCTGTCTGATTGCAACAATGGACAAATTTTTGTGAAACATGCATGCTTCCCGAACAGCGTATGCATTTGTTGTGACCATCAGAGGCTGGCATAGAGTCTTGTCAGTTGTCGTATCTTTTGACTTCAGGAGAGCTTGGCATCTCTCCCAGTGCCAGACTCTGCTGCTTGTGACTGTAGTTATGAGTGGAGCCGCTTGTGTTTGCGGAATTATTTATTTATTTATTTGGTTTGTAATTTGCTGTAGCTTGCAGCTGCATGGCAGTAAACTGTTAATATAACTAAGCTATAAACAAGCTGAAGGGGAAAAAAAGTTTAAACTGTATTAACAGGGAAGGAACTAATGGATAAGTCAACACTATCTATCTAAATAAATATCTCGTCGTCTTTCAGAAGTATGCTAAAGAGGAGAGGGTTTGCAACTCTGTCCATAACCAAGGGTGGTGAAGAAGGAACTGAGTTGAATTGGGCTGCGTGCGCTAACTTAAAGGACAGGAAAGCTGCTCATCGCTTGTGCATGTGTAGCCCAACTGGATACTGCTCTAAAAGTCGCCAATTCGTGGCGCTGGGACAAGCCTGACACCAACCGCGGAGCACCCACAGGGACATCACTCGAATAACATTATTTAACCAAACACTTCTTTCCAGTCCCCAACCAGAGCTAGAAAATGGTTGGATCCAATAAAATAACCCTTACAATACAAGCAAATTAGAGTGCCTTGCAGGAAAATCCCAGAGCACAAACAGTGGCAGCAAAATTAATCAAATAATCTCATAAATCTCTCAGACAAAAATGTATGGTTTCATTTCCTCTGTCCTTGAGATGCACTTGCTTCTTCTGAGTTTGGAATTGTTCTCTTACTCACACATCCTGGAAATGAATGAATGGCTGCACTGATGTACCAGCAGGAAAGTTTTGGCTTCCTTTACTAGTGATACTCTTCTAGCAATAAATTCTGGATAAATTCATGGAGGTTAGGTCCATAAAAGGCTATTAGCTAGGGGATAAAATGGTGTCCTTGGCCTCTGTTTGTCAGAGGCTGGAGAGGGATGGCAGGAGACAAATTGCTTGATCATTGTCTTCGGTCCACCCTCTCTGGGGCACCTGGTGCTGGCCACTGTCGGCAGACAGGATACTGGGCTAGATGGACCTTTGGTCTAACCCAGTACGGCCGTTCTTATGTTCTTATGAGATGGTATCTGCCTAACTACGAAGGGGAATAGTGATAGAAATGTAGCTGTGTTAGTCTGGTGTAGCTGAAACAAAATACAGGACTATGTAGCACTTTAAAGACAAGATGGTTTATTAGATGATGAGCTTTCGTGGGCCACTGAGGAAGTGGGTCTGGCCCACGAAAGCTCATCATCTAATAAACCATCTTGTTAGTCTTTAAAGTGCTACATAGTCCTGTATTTTGTTTAAGAAGGGGAAGTGCATCTTCTCAACACCCACTCACCGGGGAGGGCTTTAAACTAGGGTCAGAAGGGACAGGTGTCAGAAGCCCTCAGGTATATGTATAAAGGTGACCTTAACGGTAAATTCAGTGGCCAATGTACAATTACCAAAACAATTGCCATATGCCTAACTCACCAAATGGAGAATGGAAAACAGGGAGGCCAAAAGAAACACTTTAAGAACATCCTCAAGATAAACATCAAGGCTGCGTCTAGACTGGCAAGTTTTTGCGGAAAAACTTGCCAGCTGTCTACACTGGCCGCTTGAATTTCTGCAAGAACACTGATGATCTCATGTAAGAAATCAGTGCTTCTTGAGGAAATACTATGCTGCTCCTGTTCGGGCAAAAGTCCCTTTTGCGCAACATTTTTGCGCAAAAGGGCCAGTATAGACAGCTCAGATTTATTTTGCGCAAAAAGCCCCGATCGCGAAAATGGCGATCGGGGCTTTTTTGCGCAAAAGCGCGTCTACGTTGGCCACGGACGCTTTTGCGTGAAAGTGCTTTTGCGGAAAAGCATCCGTGTCAATCTAGACGCTCTTTTCCGCAAATGCTTTTAACGGAAAACTTTTCCCTTAAAAGCATTTGTGGAAAATCATGCCGGTCTAGATGTAGCCCAAGAGAATAAAGACTTTTAGTAGCCCAGCATACGGATCATTAGGGAAGACTTTGAGGAAAATCCATCTTTGAGGAAAATTGTCTTGCCTATGTCCCAGCAAATTGACAGGAAAAAAAAGGGGGGGGGGGGGGAGGGAGATCTTCACACAGCAACTGTGACACAACCCTGACTCCTGACACCACCTGCAACCTCTGCCAATGAGTCTGTGGCTCAAGGAATAGGTTCTTCAGCTACCAAAGGACCTGATATAATTAAAACCTATGAAAAAGATCATGCTTGGCCTAAATAGAGGTCGTGACTTAAAGTGCAAAGTACTCCAGTTTAGGGATGTTAGATATCGAGTAACAGAACAATCATATAATCACATCAAATATTAGTGGATACATGATTATTTGATAGTCCTGAGGGTGGGGCTATATAAGAGGTAGCAGCAAGCGGTGGGGTAGGGGAAGCTGCCATGGAGCACCCTCTGTCCTCAGAAGGCCCAAGCTCCCCATAGACAAGAGGCTGTGCCAGCATCCCATAGAGCCGTGGTCACCAACCCGTCGATCGCGATCGA